TACACGAGGAAATCCGAGAAAGGTGACAATACAAACATTGGTGATTCCAGATTACTACCTGGCAGAGGGATTTTAATAAAGAGTTTTCGATGGCTGGTACTTGATTAACCTGACTGATCCCCGCGAGTGATATACTGTTGTTGTTACTCTTACATACATTACTCCAACATGATTCAAAGCATCCGTCGTTATTCATGCAGGCTGACGGTACTACTACTGGATCTTAAAATGAAATATTGCTGAACTCAATAGTTACTGTGTTGTGAGGAGTGGCAAAGGTTTCGTATTCATTAACGTCTCGTAATGTACGTCGTGTACTTGGATTGGCAAGAAAGTAATTTAAAAAGGTCAGAAGAAATCAGTGATATGTTGTGATCACCAATATTGATAAATATGTTAATCGGTATGCACTATCAACTGCAGGAACCACATCGATATTTCTCACCAGCTTCGGTTAACATATGCTTACATTTTGGTAGTTAGTTAATCTTGACCTATTCTTGACAAAGCATGCGTCTTCACAGTGTCCTGTACTTTTAATAAATGCGCGTATTAAGACGACTTAGCAGCGGGAGTATAATTTTATTCTGAAAGTTGTTAATGTTGGTTTGTTTATTATTACAATTCGAAGTTCTGCAGATAAATCCTTAACGAATCGTAAACGTTATAATATACGTCTGACATTCCCCGCGTATGTCGTATATTTGTTGTATGTCGTGTTCATACATGCAAACGAAATGTTAACGGAGTCCAACTTGTGAGGACAGAGAGGTCTTAAATGAGTTTTAAAAATATCCATGTACGACCATTTGTGACCTATGAATTTAGTTATGTTTTGGTGTCGCCTTTTAAATAAGATGCTTCCCGGGAAAAACACTCATGATCTTCCACTGTCCACTATCATTGCGCGATCTACCTCTAGACACAATAAATCAATCAGAAGGATCAAAAATTGACACGTAATAATGAAGCGATTTTATGAGTGCGAGATTCTTAAGGGCTTCTGTCATAATGGTAAAATACGAAACTGACATAGTATCGGGATAGCGAACAGTGGTATCTTGATCGTGAGTCGTAGTCTGAGAGACATCGCTCAAGTTAACTAAACTATTTACGTTTGGTGATTCGTTGCTACTATTAACTATGTGATTGTGACCTATAGACACATTTCTTACGACCGATTCAGCAACATTTCCTGATAATTATGTTGTAACTCTACGACACTATTATTAAACTGATCGACAGCTTTGAGTCTTACTAAAATGTTATTCAAATTATCATTCAATGAATCACTTACAAGTAAGTGTGATGCGGGTGCGTGTTGAGAAAATTTACTGCTGCTCGACTCGTTTCTCGATCTACGACAACGTACTCGTGCTACGGACACCCTAGGGTATCTATGTGGGCTAGATATCAATCTATTTTTCACATGGCGTAATCTTTTTCTAATTTAGATCGATTACGATTCATTTTCTTAGACATAATTGTCAAAAAGAAAACAAAATATGGTCGACCAAAGAATTTATAAAAAAGAGATCTTTATCCCACTTCTGAATTAAGGAACTTCGTTCGGATTTTTAAAAATAAAATAACAGTAAGGCATTTGACAATTTGACTATGCGATATTAATTAAAATGAACAAATATAAAAGGTAAATAAAGGAATGAAATGATAACCTGCTAACTCCAGTTAAACAACAATTAAAGTACTTACAGAGTAATATCCTTAAAATAGCCTTAGACTAATTGCTAAACCAATATTAATAGTCGAAAACCCATGAGCGATGTTGCCTCGACGACGGACCACCAGAAAGTGCCGATGTTTCTTTTTGCGCACTGCTTCTATTTTGTTTCTTTTCCAAGGAGTTCCTAACTCGGCTTCTATTTTGTTTCTTGACCAAGGAGTTTCCTAACTATATATACATATAATTTACATTTGGACTGGACATCTGCATTTAGTTTAGTTATTTCAATAGCATCTGTAAGTAAAATAAATTAACACACGTTAATATCTATGTATCTTAATTCAACTATTTCAAATAAAGAAAAAAGTCGCGAAATAATATAAGACAAGCAAGTAGGTACGAATGAAAAACCTAGCTGGTGATATATATGTTTGTTACATCATAGTGCTATTACTTATTTATGATAACAATATATTGAGAATTAAACATTTAACAATTTGCAATATATTTCTTAACTATTTTTAAATATAGTTGGTACGGTTCAGGTATATGAACCCTAATGACCCATATACTAATAATAATAATAGTAAAAGCCTTCATTGCGTTACAGAAACTCATTAGGGAGTAACTGAAATTACCAAAAGTGTGACGAAATCTGATAATATTAAGTCGAAAACGGATTAAGCGTGGCTAATGACGCGGACTGTTATTATACTTGAAATAAACTTATGTAATTATTATGATATTTTAAATAGATATATGTTCATTTGGATCTTGCAAAAGATTTATAATAATAAAATCCTTCATTGCAAATCCTTTAAATACAGATACGTACAGTGATTTTCTTAGAGACAACTAGTTTTTAGCCCAGTTTGCACACCAGAGCATACTCAATTTTAGCTTCTCGTATCCAAAATAAATATATTTTGATTGAACATAAAACACATACTAAAAACCAATTTATATTTTTAGTTAGAAATATTGCAGAAGATGGAAATAACAACAACATTTATTACTAAAAAACCTATAAATTTAAATACATTTTACTATTTATTTCCAATGACATATAATTCTTACTATCTAAAAAATAATATATTTTTTAGCATCAACAAAACTTTAATGAACATTTTCATAATTCATGACACACTGTCGCGTCGTTTCCGATTTTATCAGATGATTTAGAAGTCAGCAATTACAATAAACGGTGTCTTGTTTAGTTAAATAAATATTAAATTGTTAACATTTTTTCTAATTAGAATAAAGAATTATTACAATATGTATAAATAAAATTTTGAAAATCCTTACAATAAAATAATGGGATGCTTGTATTTGTGTGTCATGTACAAATATTTTTTTCACAATATATAATAATAATAAATATTAAATAGAAAATAACTAAGACGTCACTGAAAAATAAAAATTCATATAATTGTTGAATTTATATGTAACTAAAAATAAAAAAAAATCCCTGATTACATTTAGAACTTTAGTACTAAATCAATAAATTTAATAGTATTTTACTCGACCAAATTACACTGGTCTCCAATATCTGATTGAATCAACACTCCTCAAAATATTGTAACAGACTGAAGTTCATGTTATAGTAGACAGCTTAACGCGTTATTTTCATATTTGTCGATATATGTAGTTCTATAAAAGTACAGTACATTACAGTCAAATTTGACAGTCAGAATGTCAAATAAATATAAAGATTTTTCTTATATTGTTTTACTTTTCGAATGTGTGATGGACTCAATAATTTTAGAGGATCCTATAATAGTGTCAACGGAAGTTTTAAATATTAATATTTTTTTCTATTATGTCAGTTATTTTATTTTATTACGTAGCAAATCAACGAATATGATATTTTTATTCGCAGTCAGTCTTCATAATGTTGACAATGAATCATAACGTGTATCCGAACCGCAACTAAAATTTATCTCACAATTCGTTTGAATATATTTCATAAACAAACTTAATTCTGTCATCGGAAAGATGGTCGTTATAAAACAGCTGTAAAAATTTTAGTTCGCAGTCGAAAAATAATCCGCATATCGCAATTAAAAACATAAAACACTCTTAAAATAAACCTGGAACGAAATATCATATAGCAGAAGAGTAATAACATTAAAACTTATACAGTGGGGCAGATGTGCCAATATTCTATTATTACTGGCTTTTCAACACGAACGGCGCAAGCATTCCTGACTATTTCCACATCCCTAAGATGAATCATTAAATAATAAAATCTAAAGCATACTTAATGCTCAACAACACATACGCACATTTCCAACGGTACACACACATCCACAGTCGCTAATCAGTACCAGATCCCTCGCGTTACTTCTCAATCGGACGCATTGCACACCGACGTAAAGCATCACCAATACATCAATGGATGATCTAATTGCGAACGCGTAAACAAACGTCAATCTGTTTGTTACAACTGCAACAATGTGTCTGATTTTATCCAGCTTATTAAAACTGCTAACAGAATTCTATCCAATCGCAAACAAGTTCATTTTATTTTTTAATCAGTTTAGAATTTAAAATACAAATATAGGTATATGCTTTTTAGACATGATATTAGTTGTAATATGTAATTGTAAACAGGTACTTTATCTCACAGAACATATTTAGTATTACCTGTGTTTTATGTGATTTTGCAAGCGTGAATTACGATCTCATGGATTTTAATGCATCCTGCACTAGTTCGATAATCTTCAATGCACGTATTAGCCAGAGATGATTCATACCTAATAGTCCAGGCGCTAGAGGTAGTTGAGTATGCAAAATCCGAGTGACGGCAACTGTGACCGGATTCTTATACCTGAGACCCTAAATAATGACAAAACACATCTTGCCGCCACGTGTTATGGTCCCTTCTTGCTCCCTTCACATCCCCTCTCCGCCCATACATAAACACACTTGTTTAGTGTGTTTCTACATCTATTGTCGTACAGAAGTTGCATTTTTAAGTCGTTTTTTTATATATCATATAAAATAATAGTATTTTCGTAAATTTTTAGTGTCTGTTCAAAGTGTACTGTATTGAAAAACGTAAAAAATGTCGTTAGAAGTGGTTAATTTGAAAAGAAAAAACCTAATGAACAATTTTGCTTATTCTGCGATAATTCAAGTGATTTAGTGAAGAACCCAAGGCCAAGTACGTTGCTTCATATCAAAGAAACAGCAAATAGGAGAAAGGACAGCATTAATGAGAAGTTTTCAAAACTATATGATCCAGACTCCACAAAACAAGAATTTTCATGGCATCAAGACTGTTTAGCCACTTATAAGGCGTCGAGAAATTGCGTTGCATAAAAAAGAAGAAGAAGAAGTGTCTGCTTCAAATTCCAAAGCAAACGTGGAGGAGCTGACTCCAAAATCTCGTTCGTCATCAAGGGAACCGGCAGCGTTGAAAAAATCGTCGAAATGCATATTTTGTAAGAAGGTAACAAGAAACCAAGATAAGCAGCTACATTTATGTTTGGAAATTTCAGCAGCGGAAAAAATTTTTAGTACTGCACGTAGGAAAGAAGATCATGTTTTTACTGAACTGAGTACTTGTCAACGGCCTGAAGATTTATTTGCTATCGGAGTGAGATATCACAAACATTGTTACCTTGATTATTTAAGATTACCGAGAAGTTCTGAATTGCCAGCTGGTCGACCGTCAAATCAAATCCCTAAAGAAATACTTATAAATGCATTTGACAAACTAATAGATGAAATTAAAGACCGGTTACCAACACAATCCAACGACTCGCTGAACTTACAAATATTGAGGGTGCAGTGATCGAAAATCGTGTAGTGAAATCACTACTTATAGATAAATTTGGTGAAAACATATTATTTTCTTACCCGACTGATCGATCAAAATCATCGTTAGCGTTTATGGGAAATATACCATTGCCGGAAATAATAGAATATGTTCGGAACATCAATTCAAAAAACACCATCATTGAGACTGCAAAATTCATCGTTATTCCTTCATGATGCCATCGACAACAACGACTTCAATGAAGAAACATTAAGCCGTCTTTACCAGAGTCATTAATTCCACCATGTAAATGTACTTCAAATTGTCGCACAATGTTTTGTAATTGCAAAAAATCGGAATTGTTTTGTATTTCATTATGTAGATTGTAAATGCATCAATAACAAATGTGAAAATAAAAATGATTAATTTTTTACCTACTTTAACTACATTTATGCTTTAATTAGCTGGTTTTCATATATAACTTTCATTTTTTTATCAATAAAAAAAATTTATTACAGTAATTTTTGTTTTTTTTTTATTATTTAAGAATCCACCTTCACTTATAACACGAGAAAATACTATAAACTATTACGAAAATAATCATTAAAGCGATTTTATATCATGTACTAAATACATTCCCTTTATTAATAAGAGAAGAGGGGGTAAAAAAAAAATGGACCAAAAAATTGACCGGCAAGATCCACATTATTGTTCTTTGACCTTTTCCTCACTTAAATCCGTTGGCGAAATTTGGTACTCACATTTTGCATACTCACTTACCTCTAGCGCCCGGTCTATAATATTCAATTCTATTGTTAGATCGCATATGGCACGATGAAATTATTAAACGTCTAATGAATTATTGAGTACGAAATAAACCGCGAATAGTAATTAGGAATAAGTTGGATAACCGCTTACAAAACGCAAAGAATTCTCTTTTTACGATATCGTAACCCTAAAAAATTTAAGTATTATAAAAATTGGTCTACTTATAGATGCTTTTTCAACGCAACACATTAAATTTGATCGATCTGAGCTATATTTTTCCTGTTTACCAAATATTTAAGTAACGGCCATAAGTCAGACAGTAAAATAATTCAAATGTGAAATTTCATGAACGCTCATAATGAACTTGGCAAACGACCAAAAAATGTCTTATTTTTGATATGGAATCTGGACCAATTTTTATTGTAAGATTTCGAAAATTATACTACCTACAACCCTCTAGGTGGAGAGTTACATATTCCAAACAACCCAGTACTAAAAGTAAAAATAAGAAAACATATTAAAAATAATTATAATAACTTTTAGTTACATATACGTAATTTAAAACAACATTATATATAAAAAATTACAAAGTAATTTTGTAACACAAATAAGCTATTGATAAGATGTTAAAAAACAATCTACAGCTCAATTCTCTATCTCTAAAATCTAGATGAGATCCTATTTACGAAGCAATTGCTTCATTTGTTGTCTAGAGTAATCTAATGCAATATTCTAAGCAAATTTATTCCCCTCTAAATCTACTTAGTAATCTTGCTATAAAACTATTAAATGTGCTATGTTTATTTCTCCATAAGTTAGTGGGTTATTTATTACAAATACCAAAAAGTTTATATCTATCTATTATTATTTATTATAGGTATTATATAATGGCTCAATAATTTAATATAGCCTGGCGTTATGCTAAATTTTCAGTTTATGGCATTCCTGAACAGCATTACGTCACAGCAATACAATAAAAATGTCCGAATCTCCTCACCTATACTTTCGTACCCATAAGATTTATTTCTGTGACTTGAATCAGTTTTATTGCCCCTACGTTCATCTGTACTCATTTATAGACGACTTAGATATTCTTTTTTACGATTCGAAGCGCTCTGTTTATTTTCGTTTTTAATTACTTCTTGCGTAGGCAGTTGGAAATGACAAAAAGCATTTGACCTAGAATAATTTTTAAAATGTTATAATGAAATCTATTTAAATTTGTTTTAGTGGCAATGGCGCCGGTTATATGACAAATTGACTGGACCAATTCAGTGCCAATATCACCTCATGTAAACCCAATAAAGCGATCATCATAGACTAATATAATAATAAAATATTTTAAATTGGATCGTCGATTCTATAAGCAGAACCTATTTTGAGATAATTTAACAAATCTATTAACATAACTATCAGTAAAATTGGGTCAGTTTAACTAACGTAAAATTATTGTATATAATGAATAACATCACTGAATTTGCGTATTAATTCGAGAATGCAAATCACCATCAACGCTAATGAATGCATCTCATCCCGGTAGGATCCAATCAAATCTGTACTGACTCACAGAATCGATGCGTTCGCGCATAACGACCGTCGGATGCGCCGAAGTGTTCCACACAGATTGTAAATATTTCTCTGTTTCAGAACAAGACTAAAATAGAATAGAACGCGTGTTTCTAAATCCCCTTTGAAGATTACACACGCCGGCATCAGATCTTCAAATTACCCTCTAACAAAGATTGTATTAATTACGCGCTCTCGATAGCCCAATGTAAATACTATTTAAATTTAGATTTCGGCGAGTGGTGCGTGCGAGATTTTACACGTCTTTTATCTGTCACTTTTATTTATAATATATCTGACATTTGTTATTATAATACGGTATGAATCGTTAGTGGTATTCCACGATCGTTAAATACATACAAATAGATAAGTTTGGTTATAAGAAAAAATGCAAGTACTATTTACACAGGTGTATTTCAATCAAAATAATTTAAGAATTATTTCTTAACTAACATTTCTAATGCTGTATGAGCAATCGCATGATTAAATTAGTGGTTCATGATAAATATATATATTCATAAATACATATTTACAAATTATATCCAAAAACTATAATGAATAATTAATATGTTCAGGGAAATTTATTTTACTTCACTAAATATAGTTCTAATTATAAATATGACGGTAACTTTAATACAAAGTCCCTTTAGTATATTAGGTATAACATAGTATGTAAAGTATATTATGATGACATAAACATCAGAAACTATTCAAACTAATGCAAACGGAGTAACAAGACAAGAGCTTTTTATAAACATTAGATTACTCTAAGTAAAAATCTCAATATACGAAACTAAAACATAGCTAGCGTTTTTTTTAATTCAGACTTTCTTTAGTATTTTTTTTAAATATATTCTAAACCTGTTTTGTATATTAAGGAATGATAATAGTATATTATTAGTAACAACACCTGGAAAGGGAAAGTGGTCGAAATAAGGACTCCCATTATATTTTACTTAATACATGCGTTATATGGACTTAGGGTGACTTATCACGATTAAATATCTCGATCGTCAGATACGATTGCTTCGTTTTCATAAGTATCGAATTAAATTTATTTATATTTGTATATATGATTAAAATAACTTTGCCTTGATCCTAAATCCTGATTATAAATTTATTAAAATAATATATACAATCTTTAACATGATGAAAATTTTGTCTTTTGTATGATACGTGAATTAAAAAATCTTGAATGACACCAATAAAATTTCAAGACTAGGTAATTTGAATAAAAATTTCAACAACTTCAGCAAGCCCCTAAATCGCGATACACTTCCGTATCACTTCGTTACATACAACAATTGTCCAAAATCCAGATCACCAATCAGATGCACTGATAACCCGAAATTACGGTCCAAAACCCGGTATTAAGCACACAAAAAGCAATAAAACGGCGTGAAATGGTACAAGAGCATTAATTCGATTATCAGATCGAGGTGCGAAGCGAGTTTCGATGTTTATCTAGGTATAAAGAGCATAAGAAATAATTTTACAACTGTAAAATAATAAAAACTCTCATTAGCAGTCATTAAAGCCCCGCCTCCGCGATTGAGGGTAAGATATGAATGTTTATTCTGTTTAATGACGGGGTGCCAAAGGTGATGTCTATTTATCGCCTCAAACCCAAACAATAGATAGATCAGCTCAAGAAATAGGAATCATGAATATAAATTATCTTGTTAATATTTTTATGAACTACTTTTTTTGGGAAAGCTTCACCATATGAATAAATTAAATACATGGTACAACTGCTGCTTTGTTACTTTTTCGTTGATTTTATTTGTCTAAATTAGGCCTTAAGAATCATTGAAAGGTTCAATAAAATTCGCTAACAAAAATTTTGAAATTATTGTTGAAAATTATATAAAATATTTAAGCAAATTGAACACCCATGATTTAGAATGAAATGAGACAAAAAATATGTGTACGTTAAGATATACAGAGCAAAATTAACTTCACTTAATGCGGCAGAGAAAATAATATTCTTATTACTAAGCAGTTGAGTTTCTCATGCCAAATGTTGTTACTTAAAAAAAATCATATAATTGTGTTTTAACAAAGGTATAGTCACCGCCCGTGTTTTTAAACCACATATATATAATAACTCTAATTAAAAATACAATACAATTACTACCGCAAAGTAATAAGTATATCTTTTGTACTATAACAAAAAGGAATTGGTAATTGGGGATTAATTCGATACTTGTTAAAGAACTGTTTATTTTTTGTGTTAAAATATAAAATGTAAAGGAAGGAAATGTGGTTAATGAAAAAGCTACTTTTTAAAGATTTGAGGAGAAACGTTAGTTGTGGATCTTCATTCTGATTATTTTTTTATAATCTCAAATTTTGATTGGAAAAATTACAAGTTAAGTAAACTTATATTACGTCCATAGTCGAACAGCTGGTCAACTGCTTCATATTCAAATACGACAATGATTTAGATTTTTTTTAAATCTTAACCCACAACGTTGGTATAATGCGGAATGGTGGTTATAGACACTTAAATATCTGTTCAATTTACTGGCTCGATTTGCAAAAATATGAAAAGTTATTTTACACATAGGTATTTGTACAAGCTGCAGATTACATAATTATCCAATTATTTACAATAATATAAAATTCAAGGGCCTGCATACATAGTGTTATACTCTTATTAGGTGAAAATTTACTCCTGTATAAAAGAATAAATACTACTT